GTGATGTCATGTTCTTCTCCATATAATTCAATTCCTCGGATTATTTTCTCAGCATACATATTGAATAATATGATGAATGGATACAAGATTTGTGTACACCGTTCTTAGTTATAAACCATTCTGTGTCCACTTGTTGTGTTTGAGTGAATGCCTTTTAGTCTATGTACAGATTTTGCATGTGCACAATTAAAAGTTTTGGAATGCCAATTCTTCACAATGTTATCTATAACTTGTCATGTTACACACAGTCAGAAACTTTTGCATAATCAATGAAGCATAAGCAAACATCTTTCTGGTGTTCTGCGCTTTCAATTAAACAACATTTACCTCAACAATGTTATGATTCTTTCCATACCCTCTTCTGAAAACAGCTTAGATTTTTGGCAGTTCTCGTATGTTGTACTGGTGCAGTGATTTTTGAATTTATCTACAGTAAAATGATTCTTTCAGATGTAATTAATGATATATTTTTGATGACTGCCACATTAGGTTGTGTCACAACTCTTTGAAATGGGTACCAATATGGATATCAGCCAATCAGTTGGAACTTCTTCCTTCAACGACCATCGTTTCTTGTTCATATGCTACCTCTTGAAAAGGTTGAACATCAACGATTTCTTTTTGATACAGTGATTCTGTGTATACTTTTCATCTTCTTTTGTTGCTTTCTGCATCCTTCATTGTTTTTCCCATAGAGTCCTTCAATATTTCAAGTTGAGGTTTGAATTTTTTTTCCAGTTCTTTCAGCCTGTGAAATGCTGAGTCTTTTCTTCCCTTTTGTTTCCCTAATTCCAGATGTTTGCACATTTCATTGTAATACTTGACTTTGTCTTTTCATGCTGACCTTTGAAAATTTCTGTTGTACTCATTACTTCCTTATTTCTTCCACAAAATCAGCACTGGACTGGAAACCACAAGAGTCAACAGACAGTTCAAACCCACCAGCTGTTACTGGGAAATCCTACACAGTGTAGCTCGGAGTCTAAACTGATTGGATGGCACTTAGTATAACAACACCCCAGAATGTATGTGATTCCTCACAGACAATCAAGTAAGAGAACCCAAAGACAGAAAAGAACAGGATCCTTTATATAGCTGTGTGGGCACAACTATTTACATTCTTTTTTTTTTTTTTTTAAGACAAAATTTCTATTTATCTAGGACATCTAGTTACGTTCATTGCTTTCCAGGAATATGTAGGAAATAAGATTTCTTGATGATTACATTTCTAAACAGATTGTTTCCAGATTTCTGTGTTGGCATTCTGGATTGACAAGTATTTCAAAGATGCAAGGGGAAAAAATTCGCTATTACTAGTTCCTACACTTAAGAACAACAACAGTGTGACACTGTGGGTTAATGTGCCTGACTGCAAGCTGTTTGAAATGCAAGGTCAGTGGTTCAAGCTCAGCAGCTGCTCCTCGGAAACCCTATTCAGGGTCACTGTGGGTCAGAATCGACTCGATGGCACTTTGCAACAACAACAAAGTAAATTCTGAAAAAAACAGGAGTAAGCTGATTGCATTTTGAATTGATTTCAGACTGAACAAACTGGTAGAATTTTTCAGTTTCGTGGTCATTGGTGTAAATGTGAATAATAGTGGTATTAAATGGTGTTCCTAGTAGGTGTGTGGATATTATCCCATCAAAAACAACGTTTAACTTCAAGATAGATCATGACATTTTCTTTTTGATGAAGAATGATACACCATTTCTCTTCAGTTTGGTGTTCTTGACATAACAAACCTACAAATGCCTTATTCGAAGTGGCTATTTCCAGTAGGGTTTAGCTCACAAATAATGCTTGTCTTTTTTGAGAAAAGATGATCAACCAAAGATCTAGGAAGGAATGCTAATATTTGTTTCAAGAATTGGCTGGGCAGGTCACATATTGTTTAATCTTACACCTAA